CACCACCCCCGCCACCTCCACCACCTTCTGCTTCTGCTACCAATGGACCATCTTTGACGGCAACCAATGCTGACAAAATATCCGACACTTCAACTTTATCTGTTTGCAGAGATTATAGAATTCTTCCACCTCCTCACGGGTAACAAAATTTTTTTTCATCCTTTAAATATATCGACATTCTATATATATATATTATTTTTATTATTTATCATATTATTGATATATTATATTATATCATATTATATCATTTATCGACATTTATAAATTATTAGATAGTTAACAATACATCTTAAAATATGAACGAATGAACATTATGATTGTAACTAATATTAATGTACATATTAATACTATTGAAAAATTTATTAAAAAAAAAAAATTTTTATTCGTATACATGTATTAAACAAATATTTAAATGTTTAACAATGAATTATTATTAAAAAGTGACAATATATTAAAAATTAATGATATATCATCTCAGTCAGTTTTCTTTTTTTTTTATTTTAATTTTGAATATCTAAAAATACATCAACGTGAAAGAATTAAAATAAACAATTGATTTTGATTTTTATAACAGTACCATTTTATCAATATTATATATATAATAAATTTAAATTTCATTAATTAATAATTAATATAAATAAAATTGATATAAAATAATTGATAAAAAATAAAAAATAAAAAAATTGTTTCTTTTATGACATTCTATATTTTACTTTTATGTTATAGTTTTCTGTATATTTTCTTTATATTTCTATTTAAATTTGTGTTCTTATATATAAAAAAACAACTATTATGTTTCAGATATTCTTTGACATGTGAAAAATCTCCGGAGAGAATGAAATGTGGTTGTGGTTCTCCACCAAGAATATGCGGTAGTCCAATAGAAAGAGATATTAATTTAAGTGTTAGAGATAGGCCGCAGGAGGCTGAAATGGATCTCACTGTGAAAGGTCCACCTCGACACACATCGATTGCTACTTTATTTCATCAATTACCCCAGCAAGAACTCAGTCCTTCGCAAAATATCGATGAACCTTTGGACGTTACACTTAATGCTAACAAAAATAATTAATTAATTGTTTTTATTATTTCAAGTCTATATATAATTCAGTTTCATACTTATGGGCTTGTTCATTATTTTTTCGGTTTTTCATTCAAAAAATGATTAAGTGCAATACACCAATTAGAGTTTAAGAAAACTTTATTCCAGAGATATACACCGCTAAAATTTCACATACAAATAAAAATATTATTTATAATTTTATTAAAATATGTAGGTGGTTAGTTTGGAATTTAATGTTTCTCTACTGATAAACTTTACATTTATAAATTATTATTTCACAAAGATATACCTTCGATATTGAAGTCAATACTGAGAATCTATAAAGTATTTTAATCTCAGTAAAAATTCTTAGATTTGCATTATTTTTATTGTCTTTTTCTATATGCTCTTCTTGCTCAATATTTTAAAAAATTATGGAATAACTTATTATTTATTTTGCATTATGTAATTTTTATTATCTCTTATTGAGATAAATAAATCTAGTTATTTTTCCTTCCATTATCTATATGTAATTAGAAATGTAAATATATGATTTTTTCATTATCTTTAACAAATTATATTTATTAATACTAAATGATAACTATTATATAGAATGTATTATTTATTTTAATAATCAACAATATATTTTTTTTCAAAATTAAAAAGTAATAATTTTTATAAAAGTCATATGATTTTGGAAACATATGATCAAAAGATTTTTTTTTTTACATAAATACAGATATTTAGAAAATATTGATATTTTATTTTTTAATTGTTACGATCTAATTATAATTTTATTTTGTTATTTATTAATAAAATTTATTAGAATAAATTTCATATTCATTTATATTTTATTGTTAAAGATATAAATGTTCTTAATATGTTTCAAAATAATAAATGCAAATTAAAATCATGTAATAAATAAAAGAAGCACTTTTTCAAAATTTTAAATATAAAATATTTACGTTTAAGCTAGTGTTAAATATATTAATTTATACGATTTTTTTTGTTCATATATGTATTAAATTTTTTAATTGTTATATTAATTGTATTGCTAATAAAAGACTAATATAATAATAATGATAAAACGATAATTGTACACAGGGGATTAAAATTTTATTAATCTCACGCGTTATTTACTTCATAAATAAGTACTATGATTCAACTAAAAGCAATTTCATTATGACAATATTTATTAAAACAAAATTTCTATATTATTAATTATTATTTCTTCTATATTATTATTATTTCTATATTATTAATATTAATCATGTTATAAATTATATTATTTAAGCGAAATTTAAAAAATCGAAAAATAATAATATTTAATCTTTCAAGCAAATCCAAAAGTAAATATACATTATAAATTATATTTCATAATTATGAATATTAAAAATTGAATAATTCAGATACAAATTATTCAAAAAAATATAAATATTCTTTATGTAATCGAAAGTAAATTCATTTTACAAAAACATGATAATTTAGATTTGCACAACATAAAAAATATAAATAAAAAAATATCACTAACTTCAAAAATCTATAGCTTCTTTATATTTAAGAAAACATGTTATAATATATCATTACAATTGTTTTTAGATAATTTGAAAATTAACTTATTCTTTTTTTAATGAAAATAAAATTGTATTATACATAAATAATTACTTATATGTAAGCATTTGAAAAATTGCATCAATTTTGTGCATTTTTTATTTATTTAAAAATATTTGTATATACTATTTTTATAATATTATTTAAATCATCAACAATCATTTTATAATTTTATTGAATTCACAATCAACAAACAAGTCATAATTATTAAAATAAAATAAAAATAAATAAAAGATATTATAAAAAACGTATTTGTTATATTCGATTATTTACAAAAAAATAAAAATTCTAATAAATTAATGTTTATTTATAAATAATAAATTGTCATTCTTATTTTTATAAATTTATTGTTATAATTTTCAATATATGAATGATATAATCTTTTTGTGATTAAAATATTTTTTTAAGAAAAATGAAGATGATTTTTATTGATTCGATATTTAGGTAGATATCGATACTTTTCATTAATTCGATTATATCGAAAAAAATCGATATTTTCGAAAGAAAAGAAATGTGTTAATTTATACTTAACAATGATTTATTTTGAATTAAAATTAAATTTCAATATAAAATTACAAATAAGTAAAAAAAACTTTTTCAATTCTGCTAGTATAATATCTTAATTTTTTGCACAGACAATAATTTTTTTATTTGCTCAGTTATTATAAATATTATTCTATAATTAATTTCATATTATATTTCCATATAACTAACGATCGACCTAATTTATTAATATATATTTTTAATATGAATTAATAAAAAATCAATAAATAAATATTACTTTTATTTTCTATATAAATTAATATATTTTTTAAAAATTGGTATGTGTATAATAATGTATATAATAAAATAAATAAACATCAATTAAATAATATTAATCTTAATATTTTATATCGTAACAAAAAAACATTCTATATTATATAACATATAATTATATAAATTAATTAAATTATAATATTATAAATATTTATATAATTCGATATAATAATTTTATGCATGTATAAATATTTTAATTATTATTATATTATTTATTTTTTATTATATTATTATATTATTAATCATATATGGCAGTTTAGTTTAAAAAAATTCTATAACTATATTCTTTTAGAAAACAAGAAAGTTATTTTTAATATAATTTATAATGACAAATATTATATGGCAGTTTAAAAAAATTCTATAACTACATTCTTTTAGAAAATACGAAACTTATTTTTAATATAATAGGCCCTCAGAAAATATTGGCACACTTTAAATTCATAAGATTATGTTTTTTTTTTTTACACTAAATATTATTAGGCTTATTGAGTATATGAAAATATTTCAATAATAATATAATGTTCAGTCTTATGTTGTTCTTTTACTATTTTTTACTAATATTCTATATTTCATAAACGTATGCAGAAGCTCCTGAAAATAAATATGAATATTAAATATCATATTCAATATGTAATTTAATAAATTCATATCATAAATGATTATATTTACTTTGAAAAATCACTACTTTTTTCTATAATATGTTCAAATTCTGCAAAGCTAAGTGCACCATCATCATCTAAATCTGCTTCATCAAGTATATATTGAAGAACTTGTTGCATATCTGTTTCATTTAATCTTTGTGGAGCAGTAAGTCTATCTATTACTTGTCTTAAATCTCCAATACCAAGCATATCATCTCCATCAAAATCTATATATAATTTTTTATAACTTAATTAATATATAAAAATAAAATTTTATATTATAATTTAATTTTATATTATATAGATATAAAAAAAAATGAAATATAAATATTACCAAATATTCTAAATGCGTGTTCTGCTTTGACAGCTTTTGGAGCTGCATCACTAAAAACAGACATCATGTCTAAAAAGTCTTCAAAGGTACAATCTCCATCTTGGCTTGAACTAAAAACTTTACAAATTCTATCTCCAAAGGGATTTACTCTTAATTCAGGATATTGTAAGATTTTAGACATTGGAAGTTTTGCATTTCTATTATGACCAACTTTTTCTGGAGCAAGTGCTTTAAATTTTTGATGTGCACTGTCATATATAATAAAAAATTTTAAATATCAATTAGTAATTTTTTATAAATAATTTAATTGAAATATAAAAATATAAAAA